TCCCGTTGAGGTTTCACCATTTGTCATGATTCCTTCCATGGTTGAGTGTTCTTGCATATCGATCACTGACGGTCGAGCCCTTGTTCGTGTACTTGGGAATGTGACAGAGACTTTGCTACTGAGGGTCGCGGCCGTGGGATGCTCGCGTTTACGGGGAATGAATGAATTTTTTCTTTCCATCGATCTCCTGGCTTTCTTCTTGTCGAAACTTACCTGATTTAATGACCAACCAGAAGATCATTGTGGTCAGCTTTACGCTATAACACCTCCCACGAAAAATCCCTTGTTAACACATTGTGGCGCTATGGGGACATACGGGGACAAGCTACGGGGACACCCTCTAAGATTAAGCCTAGTAGGGCAGGTACTTTGAGGGAAAATAAAAATTACTCACGCACTCTGGAGCTTATCCTCTCTCACCTAAGGCTCAGTCCTGATTTCAATAAAAAAGACGCTTTTTGCGGTTTTAGATGCATTGCCTCAATGCCCCTGGATCTTGGTATAGCACCCACGTGTTTTGCAAGCTCGCCCTCTGCCCTACCTAATCTATTTCGAGATTGCATTATTCAGTGTGTCCAGGTGGTCCCTCCTGGTCACCGGGTGGTCGTAGCAAACTCCTAATCGCCTGTCTAATCAGTTGTTTTATCCATCGAACTGTTTGTGTTGTACGGAACCGCCCGACCACAAGCTGCATCAGATTGCCCAGTCGCTCACCGGGCGGGCCCCTGCATGCATTCTCGAGCCTCCGACCAGTTTCCGTTTGCGCGTCCTTTGCACGCGTTCCTGTTCATGTTTTGTGATGCGTGAAGCTTCACTCTGTCTCGCTTTCTCGTGTGTCCCCCCGTTGTCTCCAGCATCGGTAACACGAAATAAAGCTGTTTTGTAATTGCTTGTGACACCCCTCGTTCCCGATGGCCATACTCCCTGCGTTCAGGAATTGTTTTTGATTACAACTACACAAGTTCGCTTAGAAGGGTTAAAAGTCAGTCGTATAACTTCGTATAATGTGGGAGGGCTTGTAATTTCCATGATCGGCCGCACCGCTGTTGCCTCTTTAACCCCTTCGGCCCTGGCGGTGGCAATTGCCACCACCAAATTCAAACGCTTTGCATTGCCGCTGAAACAGCATGGTTTTTCTAATCCTGCTAGAGGTTGCTTCAGTCAACCTTCCCCTTCCTAATTATGAGCTAAACCTGCCATTTCATTGTGTGTTGCTGTTAGTATTACAAGTATTTGTGTACAAGTGCAACAATGAATCGGCGCTGGTCCCCGCAACCGGCCAAGTAAGTGTCACTTTTTCTAAAATACTTGAAGTAGATCCATTCCTAATCAAAATTATGGGTTATAATGTTATGCAAGATTATAAACTTTTTCGGCATAACTATGAAATTTCGAATTGTTTCGACATAAGCTTAAAAACTAAGAAGGTGGGCCAATTTTCAAAGCTTCTTAGTTTCTTTGTTTGTGATCGAATAGCTTCCAAATTTCGCCATAATGATACCTATATGCTCACAAGTAATAAACAATAGCTAGAAGAAAAATTTCTCCACGGGGAAAAATTCAGGTCCGAAAGGGTTAAAGTCGTTTAAATCGCATCAACGTCTATCGATTCGTGCTCAATACTGCTTTTGATTTTGGAATTCAAGTCAAGGCTCGTTTCGGCATTACCTTCTCAAGATGTTGTCGGTCGTGTAAACTTATGCAGGGACTCTGGCTTGATTCGCTTTTCAAAAAAATTGTCAAAGAAATGATCAAAACATCCGCTCCTTCGTAACGAATGCATGGTTTTTTATGGTCGGCGTGTCAGCTACTATGTCGGATTTTGTTCCTGTTCTGTATGAATTCGTACTTCTTCCCATTGGGGACCCAATTTGTTTCGTATTCACTACACTCATCTCACTCACTGTTTTTTTTTGTCATTCCGTTTCTTAAGGAACTCGAAGGAATCATATCGTTTGGAGGTAGCGAGGTTAAGAGTATGAATTTCCAAGAAACGAGTTTCTCCTGAAAAAACGATCGTTTGGGTTTCACGCGTACCGTTTCTCATTTCCGAAGGCCTTGCAAAGTGAACCTGCCATCAACTCTGTTACGACTTTTATGCGCGTTGAGGCGAAATGCCATAATCACCTCGTTTTTTTTCGCCCTGCGAACCTAAGGCCAATGGCTGCTGCCGCACCTCTTAATGTTTCCAATGTTGAGCAGTGGTTAGTGACAGGTCAGCAAAGCTCTACTCAAAGGGGAAGCATTTTTGATCTGTTAGACGGGAGCCCATTAACTAAGGTAGAGGTGGTTAGGGGCCGCGAAGAGAAAACATGAGATGGCCCAGAACCTGAAAAATGGGTCCACGTTGCCCGTTGATGCCCACATTTATGCGACTGTTATCGGTAGTACCCCCTTCAACGCTAGTGATCTTTGTGCAAGCTGCTGAGACCTACGCCGGGTGCTTAGCGAGTCGGTGGGCGTGCCGCGTCGGGAGCGGGGACGGCCATGCTAGATTGTCGGGGACATGTCCTTTGATGCTAACTGCGTGTCGGTCCACACATTCAGGTGGTCCGCCTGCCTTTCCACTAGGCAGTTTCCCCTTCTCCCACCTTCAAATTTATCGCGAAATCCTCCTTTAATGGTTGGCAAGCATAGTATTGATTGACTTCATGATCAAGCAGTACGCTACCGATGGAGTATTTTCAACCAGGATGAACTTGATGGACTTTGCTTGAAGCCTAAAGGGCCATATAGGATTTTGTCTGCGGCAAGCAGTCAAACCCGTAGCTGAGTTGCGATCCCCCACCGCAAGCCTTCAGCGGATGGATGCGCTAATTGCTACTCAGTGGTTTGACGTGGGTTTTCTCACAACTCACCATAACCGGAAGACCCGACCATGGAATTAGCCGGGATTGAATGAAGAAATCAGCCATTCACAGATAACCCACGTTTCGGTTCCATCGCGTGAAGCATCCCGTGCACAACTTCGAGTCCGACCCATATGCGCTGTCTTTCGCCTGGTATCGATTCCAGTTAGAGTTCCATCATTCACTCAACGATTCCCACTTGGAATTTGAAATCCAAGGTCACCCCGTATAAAGTAGTACATAACGGCGCGAGCCGACGGAGGTATTGGCCTTGTTGTGACGGCGACATCTGGAACACTTTGCTGTCGTCCCAAGTACTAGCAGCTGAAGGACCACAACGGTCGCCATTGTAAGTCGCATCGACTTTCACTCTACAGTCTCTCTTTCACTTCCTCGTGGATGAATTTTGCTTAATTTTCATCAGTTGAAATGCTCTTTATCATAGATGGTCATATCGCGCATACCGAACTTATTTCCACGACAAACAAGGCGTATTTGTGGTCCAATTCTTTTTGTACCACTTAAATAGTTATGCATAATCCCTTGCGCTGGAGCTCCTATGGGTCTGCAGCTATAACGGCTGGCTACCTTTTTTGAAGTAACTTTTGAACTTTTTCGGAAATTACAGGAGTGGAAGGTCTTAATTATGCAAGAATTGTTCCAGACAAACGATTTCTGGGAATAGCTCTTGTCATTGACGCGAAGCCTGACTGCTTTACGGGAGAACGGCCCGTCTCTCGGGGGAGCTAAAAACAGCTGCGACCGTGCGCGTGCATATTAAGAAATTCTATTCAGTTCTGCACAGTGTACGCGTGAATACTATGCGGCCATCTGTTGCGACCTTCTGCTTCTGAAATTGGCCTTTCATGAGCGATCTTGCATAGGGAGTGCAAAGAACTGCTACGAATGTCATGTTAAAGGCACAACCCAGGCAGAGGTCGTGTGAACGCTTCCCTTCGGTCTGTAGTATAGACCCCTAGAGGACAATCACAAATGTGGCGTTCCCGTGCACGGAAACCAACCGACAAGAGCGCTTGGGCCTTGCAAAGTAAGCTGCTGAAGCTGCAGATTTTTTCTCTTATCAGGCTGTTGTCTGGCGCTCTCTCATCTGTAGCGCTCTCTCGCCTCATACTCTCCTCTACGCCAAGGCCTTATCGACCGCTGCGAGTTTTGCTTGTTCGTAGCATTGCTCGCGGTGTCTGCACCCTCTCGCATGACATGCTCTCTCACGTATCCTCTCCCCTTGCGGCGATGTGTCTCTCCGTTATGCCGCGTCAACTTCACAAAAAATGAAGGCTTTTGATTTTAGTGTTTTCTATGGCTCTTTAGCTTTCTCTTCCTCACTGACGATCCTCATCACAGCTTTTGTCTAATTTTTGAGCCGAATACACACCATTTCGTGCCTTCAAGAAGTGGCTCGTTACTCTCTGTGGTTTTGTTTTATTACCGATCAAATGGCTCTCGAATCAATTGATTGATCGCTCAAAACATGTCACCGTAACTGATCGAAATCGGGCCACACCTTACCCCAACTTCATTTTGTACTCATTGCTATGTATGCAAAACTTCGTTGCCTGTATGATTCAAGTTCTTTCCACTGATCGAAATTCCACAATGGCATTGGTAATCGTTAAAGTCCTTTTGGCTTAGCTACCTTGGTTCAGGCATTTCCGTATTCATTCAGGGCGAACTGTGAACAGTCCACCTCTGCGTTTCGAAATTTCCAAATATTTTAAAACTGCAAAAACAAGAACAAGATGGAATCTCTCTGTCGGTGTGATAAATGCAGTGTGTTTTTGTTCTCCAGCTTTCATGCCACCTACCACTAGTTTGTGAGGAAAATATCACGTCTGGCAAAAAAGCACATGTTTTTCTCGAACGATCTCACCATTGTATTGTTTGGTGAACAGGATCGCATCGAAGCCGATCCCGGTAAAACGAAGCTTTGAGTAGAAACAGGGTCTAATTTTTCTCTTGAAACCATCATGTCTAAAGATCATCAGTTTCATCTTACCTCATTTTCATACTTTTCTCTCTGTGTCTGTACAATTGTAATTGCCGTCAATCGTTAAATATATATTCACTATTTCACAGTGCCACATCTGAATTGTGTGATTGCAGACAACGCGCATTCGCACGTCTCGCTGCCGGATGAAGAAATTAAAGCGACGTCTAAGTGCTGCGTTTCGCAGTGGAGGATCGCAGCAGAATGTCGAACTTTGCGGTGCGGGCGGTGTCACTAATGGGGTTCACCACATCCACACAGCCTCCTACGGCCTCTTTACGGCCTCGCCTAATCGAGCGTGGAGCCTTTCGGATTCAATGAACCATCTCGCCGACAGGTAATTCGTGTTTATCTTAAAATTAATCCATTCGCAATAATGCTTGAGGGTAAAAAATCACAGAGCAACGTGCCTCCAAACTCAATGGCTCAAAGGCAGTGAAAACTGACATTCGCTGTGTAGTGAAGGAACCGATGGAGAAGATGTTACCCTCACTGAAGAGCGGTTAAAGGCACTGGGTCGCGATTAGATCCTTGGAGAAATTCTCTCTTTGTGTGAAGTAACAAGCCCCTTAATCACAGAAGTAGTGGTACCGTTGTCACTTAGAGCAGCGGGACAAGGCAGCTATGCATTCACTTGACCGCTGCGACCGCTGCCACTCTCGCGATCGCAGGTTGGATGTTGCTCTGCTCCGCTTCATGCTTATTTCATGCTCGTCGGCATTTTCGCGCTCCCTCTCCTCGCAGCACTCTGTCTCTACCACTTTCAGTCTCACAAGAAAAATTTCATTGTTTTCCATAGTGCCAAGTTTCCAAGACATACTCCTGGATATCTATCCATCTATATGCTTGCAAAACACTTTTTCACGTCTACCACTGCTCCTTCTACGGCAAAATTGTGAAAAAAAAAAACTGTCAAAACGGCCCCTGTTCCCACCACTACAACCCTCCCCCTTTCAAAAATCTCTAGTACGCCTCTCCTTCCCATAAATAAGAAATAGGCCCTCTCTGGTGATCCGAAATACGATGCCAATCCCTTGCTCAACGTACGGTTGGCGTCGTTTCAGACCCACTAGAATTTTATTGAGAAAAAAGTTTTTCAACGCCGCTGAAGATTCAAAGTTCGTGCATGATTTGATGGACCACAGCTAGCATTGCTATGGTACCCACTGGGATTTACGATAATCATTACTGTGTCAAATAATCAGATTGAATTCCTTTGCTGATGAAAAGTTACGACAATGTAGGGACGCCATTCTATGATGTGTATGATTCCACCCGTACCCTATGCTGTAGCCAGCAGTCCACTGGAAATATTTAACACATTGCGTACCACGTGCGCCACCATGTGGCGCACGATTTGGAGCGGAAGATCATAGTTTTATCTGATTTATTTGGCATTTTTCAATGCTCCTTGAAGTGCTTGCACTCATTTTCAGAACCAGGAAAGCATAAGTATCATCACTGATAAAATTGTTGATAGATTAATGATGATTCATTTTTTAAAAACATGAAAAAAGGTATGGAGATGCTCGTATAAGGGCGGTCCGCAATGTGTTAAATGTCCGCCAAAAAATATTGCTGCATATGCTTATGATAAATTGTGTTTATTTCGGTAAACAAATCGAAAACTGGAAGGGCTGCTACGCGTTCAAATTCCCGCCGGACATCTGTCACAAATGCTGGCGACGGGAATGCTTCCACTTGGTTCTCGGAGTGCCGTCACTAGAAACTCTTTCTGACCTTTTGACTTATTGCATTAACATCTCACCTTCTACTTCCTCCTACTCTAATTTATCGATTCGTCTCTATTCGCCAGAATCGAACGCTTTCATTAGATTCTTTCAACGCGTTTTCTAACATGTGGCCGCTCAGAAGCGCATGTCTTTCCATGCCCCACCTTTGGCTCCGCGTCACTTACCTTCGACTGTCCATAGAGTGCTAACAAGGGAAGGATGGTAGGTCGAAGTGGCCGTTCAAAATGAAATGTATACCACCTGATGCGTCTCCAGACGCTGATTCCAAATCTGCCTTCCAAATCTGCTAAACGGCTCTCCGAACGGAGTTATGAAGCGTAATAGCTCAGTGGTGATGGTCCGGGGTGGCAGGTAAAAGCTCGTAGGATCGGTTCCTTTGCAAGTTTGTTGCTTTGCTTTTGTCCGCAACACTTCTAGGGACAAAAGCAAAAGCAACAACTTGCAAAGGAACCGATCCTACGAGCTTTTACCTGCCACCCCGGACCATCACCACTGAGCTATTACGCTTCATAACTCCGTTCGGAGAGTCGTTTAGCAGATTTGGAAGGCAGATTTGGAATCAGCGTCTGGAGACGCATCAGGTGGTATACATTTCATTTCAAACGGCCACTTCGACCTACCATCCTTCCCTTGTAAGTTTGCCTCTATTCGGAAAACTGAATTTTTGTGCGTGAGACTTTCTATATTGTCTCTAGTGATCCCAGCTGACATATTCATTTGGTAACGGGTGCAGCGATTTTCTGGGAAAGATTCCTCTAAAAGCTATCCCAATGTCTCACATGAATGCTGGGTTGTAAACCATTTTCGCCCCAGACGGGACTCGAACCCGCACCTTTTGCTTGCCGGCAAGTGCGCTACCAGTTACGCTACCGGGGCACCATTTCATTCCAACTCAGCTTTTCATGGTATACGTACCATAGCTTTCAGCACTCACACGTATAACGTGTTGAGCCGGTTAGCCGATATCGGCAGTGAACCGCAAGGCTGATGTCTCGGTAGCGTAACTGGTAGCGCACTAACCCGGTAAGCAAAAGGTGCGGGTCGAGTCGGCATCTGGGGCAAAGGCTTTGTTCCCAACCCACATTCTTGTGAACAGCGTCCAAAAATAGCAGTTTACAATCAAAAACAAGCTATCCCAATGTTTTGCTCGGTCGAAAAATTCGCAGTGTTCTCATCTAGGTGTACTCCAATATTTACATTTGTAGTGAACATTTAACGTCTTAAGTTCAGATTAATTAGTGTAACCGCATAATTCATTAATATTGGATTTTTTAGATTTTGAATAACATTACAGGGAGCTGATAAGTTGATTTCAAATGAAACCCCATGAGTTCTTCTCAAAGGCACAAGGAACGATTGCCTGCGTTCAGCTTAGTGCCCTTTTAATTTGAATGTAAATGTGATAATCGTTTAAGCAATCGAAGAGAGCAGGCGGGGTTTGGTGGGGTTTTCCTTTTTAAACAAGATACACCGAACAGGAGGGCCGAGTAATGAGGGGTCACAATCTCCGCCGGTGCAGTGACCATGCAGTATGCTTCCAGGCTTTCTAGCTCTTTCGCTGGTACTCTAATACTACTTTGCAAATCGCTCGATTCGCAAAGTCTGACACCGGCCTGTGCCTTTTCATCCATATCATTGCTTGCGATTAGCTACTTTATCAACTATAAGCTACTTTATCAACTACTGGCACGATTGAAATCTTTATCCCACACCGGGTCTTTAGGCTGACCTGGTGAACACTAAAGGAGACGATTACGATTAAGAGGGTGCATGTGTACCGCACGAATCGGTCACTTGGTCGCCAAAGGAAGTGAAATGTGGCGCTCTTCACAACGAAAGGTGCGCTGATTGTTGAGCAGGACTTCGAGAAGCGCTCCGCCCCCAAAAGCGATCCGCCCACTAGTTTACTTGTTGATTTGGACGAGCTGCGTGGCCAGCAGCGGCAAAATGGAGCATCTCGATTAAGCGTGTTTGGCATGGTGCCATCAAACGCGTTGCGGTGAACTCGTTCATACGTCCACTTTCTGAGCTGTTACCTGTTCATGAGTGAAAACCAACGGCCAAAAAAGGGGTCCCGTTTTGCGTTTTCTTGACGGATTTCTCTGCTTTTTTCGCTACTGGCGTACCATTGAGCACCACCACGTCACACTAAACCCTTCTTGAATTTATCGTAATCGCTGCCTTTAAGTCAGAAAGCTCAGTATGATGTTTCATGAACTTCGTACCTATTTTAGCGTAAGGATTCTCTTATAAGGCTGCAATATGCAGCAGTATCAAAGACATTTCCTTAGTTTCTCTTCTCTTGAATTTCAAAGCCATCTCTTTGTCTGCGGATGCTGAAAATCATATTCAGAGAAAAACGCAGAGTTTGCTCGCCTGCGCTTGATTGGAAGAACTTTTTGTTGCATTCGTTTCTTGGCTCATCTATAGGGTAGGATTAGGTGACGGAGGAGGATGCCAATGGATAGTCGTGGGATGACCTAAGACGAGATCTACTTTCTTCATTCCAGATCGAACTGGCATTATTTCGGGTGACTGTTATTGTTTGACTAGACTGGGCATGAGTTTTGTTGTGAAGCGTTAAGAAGGAAGAGCTCGTACTTCTTGTTTTGGTTTTCAAGATGACGTTGATGAATGTTTTCGTTTTAAACCAGCATTAAGCTCTGTCGCGCATTGTTGTCTATGAAGTTGAATTGCTCCACTCTTCGGGGCTGGGGAAATCTGCCAAAAGTACTTTTCATATTGTGGTTCAAGTCCCAAAATGAATTCAGTGTTTGGCGCTATCGTGAGGCATCTTAAAAAGTAAGCCTCAGGGAGGGGTTGAGGACAGGAATTCTTGGAGAAATTTATAATTGCTCATATACTCTGAAGCTTTTCCCACCCCGAACCGAACCTGGTTTACCGCCTAATCGAACGTTCTTGTATGTTCCGAGCAGCGACTGACAAGTTTGTGGTCGCAAATGCTTTTCATTTCCTGAATGTCGCTAAAGAATCGTTCAAAGAGACAGGGAACAAGCTCCAGACAAACTTTTTATTCTCGAATTTTTACTGATGAGAAAATGCCGTTGTCTCGTGCATTTGAGGCAAACTTTTTTGGCAACATTCGCTACAGCTACTTCCACTTCGGAAGACATGTGCCAGCCATTGAACCTGTTCGCTACCTTCATCTGAATGAATAGTATTCAGTTGGTAATGAAAGGGTTCGTTACCAACTGGAGACTTGTCGATCACTCTTAACATTTTGATCAATGTTCGCATAGTTCAATAATAAGGGCTCGATTCCCGTTGAAGGCAAGAATCAGGATTACACTTGATGGGTTGATTCCACTCAAATGTGAAAGTAGGGATGGGAGGTGGACCGCCAGTGGAGAAAAAAGGAAAGAAAATCCTGAAATACACAGGAAATACGAGCATTTTGCTCCATGCTGTGGAGAAGTTCAAAAGACAGGCAGGGAGATGAGAGATAATGTGAGCGCGGAGAGTGGTAGAGAATTCCGAGAAGAGAGAGCATAGCAGATCAACGCAGCGACGCAGACAAGACATCGATCGGTGGGCGGACCATGTTATGTTTGGTGGAGTCT